CTCCCTGACAGAGCGTACTCGTGTTCTCCAGCGCGAGCCGGACAGGCTGAGCTCGGCATGACTGACGTGCTGCTCCTTTTGGGGATGTTTCTGCAGGGCCACAAGCTGAAGGAGAGCCTGACCCCTGTGCTGAACCTGCTGACGGAGAGTGCCCGTGTCCACCGCCAGACCAGGAAGTTCCTGAAGGCCAGGGTACGCTGTGCTCAGCCCGGAGGTCAGGGACGCTGCCCTGAGGGGAGAGGAGACGAGCAAACCCCTGGTTATGGCCGCCCTCCACACACCTCCGGGTTCTCGCGTGGCTGGTTGAGGCCTCTGGCACCCACAGTGTTTCTCCCACGTCCCCAGGTGCTGCCGCCGCTGCGGGACGTGCGGAACCGGCCGGAGGTGGGGAATTCCCTGCGGAACAAGCTGGTGAGGCTCATGACCCACATCGACACCGACGTCAAGCACTGCGCCGCCGAGTTCCTCTTCGTGCTCTGCAAGGAGAGCGGTGAGTGCCGGGGCCTTGGGGGGGCTTTGACAGGGGACCCCTCAAGGTGGGCTCCGGGAGAGCCAGAGTGCATTCGATGGGGTCCCTCCCTGAGGGACCTCCCCTGGGGACAGGGAAAAGGGGAGGGTTCCAGGAGCTCTGTGGGAAGGAGGTGCTGTCTCTCAGGCCAGCAGTGAGGGACAAGCTGTGCTCGGGCCAGCCCAGCACCCTGCAGACAGCCTGGCCCACGTTGAGCCCCCCGCCCGTGGCTGCTGTCCCCCTGTCAGTGTCCCTGGGTCTCCGTGGCTCGGCGTGACCGTGGGGCTGGAGGCAGGAGGGGAACACAGCGTGGTCTCTGTCCTTCTCCCGGCAGTGTCCCGGTTTGTGAAGTACACGGGGTACGGGAACGCTGCGGGGCTGCTGGCGGCGCGGGGCCTCATGGCCGGCGGCCGGGAAGAGGGGGAGTACTCGGAGGATGAAGACACGGACACGGAGGAGTACAAAGAGGCAAAGCCCAAGTAAAGAAGTCTGCTCCCCCTCTAGAGCACCCCTCTTTCCACATTTTCTTCCCATTCCTGCTCTATCCCTCTCCATCTGCCTCCTGCCATCTCCCTGTCCTGCTCTTCCATGTGCCCATGGCTCCTCTCCCTCTCCAGAGCCCAGTGCTGTTGCACCCAGCTGGTTTTTGGCCTCTCTTTTTCCCTTCCCTCTCTTTTGCCCTTTCCCTCTCTTTTACTCTGCAGTACCTGGAGGGTGGGAGGTGCGTGGGGACAGCCCCAGGTCTGTGCCCACCTGTGTATCCCGCACTCACCAGCTTCCTATTCAGTGTCCCTGCAGGTTGGGTTTCTTGGGATTTTCTCCATTAGCTTTTGCCTCCGGCCTTGAGGAGAGGGAGGAAGTGTCACCTGGCCTCGTGCACCCAGTTTCCAGTGGCACTGTGGCATTGGCAGGAGGGGGCGTTGCTCCTGCTGGAGAAATGGGCAGAGTTTTTAAGGATGTAGGTTGGAAGCCCCCATAGAACTGTGATGGCACTTGGGCACTAAGGGCACGAGCAGAGGTGACAGCCAGCCCTGCCGTGCCATTCCTCTGCTCCACGAGGCACAGGAGGATCCCAGACAGCCCTTTGTCCCCCTGCTGTCCCCTCTCCCGTGCCCTGACCTCACTGTCGTCCGCGCAGCATCAACCCCGTGACGGGCCGTGTGGAGGAGAAGCTTCCCAACCCCATGGAAGGGATGACGGAGGAGCAGAAGGAGCACGAAGCCATGAAGTTGGTCAATATGTTCGACAAGTTGTCCAGGTACCGGGGTGTGGGTGTGTGTCCGTGTCCACACCTGCGTGTCGGGGGTACATCTGTCACAGGCCTTCCTTTGGCTGCATTCCCAAGGCCTGAAGTGACTGAGGAGAGGGAGCGGTGGGGATACCTGGAGAAACTCCTCCCTCAGCTTTGGCACGATGGGACACTGCGAAATTCCTTGCTGTGCCTGCGCTGTTCCCAAACACCTGCTTGCCATGTTTGTCCAGGAACTCAGGAAGGACAGCGGTCTCAGTCCTGGCCAGGCTGCTCAGGAGGAAGCAGCATTTTGGGGACAGACAGCAGCCAGTGCCACCAGCCCCTTTCTCTGCTGGAAACCTTTCTCCAGTCATCCCTCATCCATCTTTCACAGGTGCTCCAGAGGAGCCCAGTGAGTTCAGGAAGGGAGGGAAGTAACACGTGTACTCCCATCATGTGTTAGAGGGAGAGGAACACAGACACCAGTGCTAGTTTTCCTGTGGGAATCCTGAACCACACAGAACAGGACTCTAGAAATGAGCCTGTTCCAGGGAAGCTGAGCATGGGAATGGTATTGTTTGTGGATTGTGCTTCCAGCCATTGCCTCGCCACGCTGGAGGTTTTAGGGCTGGGACTGTCCCCATTTCTCAGAAGGGATCCTTAGTGGTGCCTGGGGTATTCCGGGCCATTTCCACAAGCCCTGCGTTCCTACTGTATTCCTGGTCTGTTCCTCTGCTCTCCAGCAGCTCTGCCTTACCTTTCCCGGCTGCAGGGAGAAGGTGATCCAGCCCATGGGCATCACTCCGAGTGGAAACCTGGCGCCCATGGAAAACGCCATCCGCAGCATGGCCGACGAGCGCTCGTCGTCCGACTCGGACCTGGGGCTGGACTGACCCGGCTCCCGCCCCAGCCACGGAGAGCTGGGCTCCAGCCACTCTCCCTCGGGAACTGGTGCTGCACCCAGAGGCTGGCACTGGGCCAGGACTCTCCCTGCAGGATCCGTATCCAGCCTGGATCCCTCACAGCCCACCACACGGAACACCTGCCTCCTTCCCAGCTCCATAGCCACCTCTCCTTCCAGAGGTCTCCGTGGCCTGGCTCCACCTTGATCTCTCCTGTCGGCAGCCTTCAGGATTTCACACTCCGAATCGCTTCCGGGACTTTCCAGTAGGATTTTTTCATTTAAATGCGTGCTGTTTGGGAAGAAGGGTCAGGGAGAGGCTCTTCCTGCCGCTCCATCGGGGTCCGTCGATCCGCGGAGCCTCCTGCGTGTGCCCGGCCCCACAGTGGGGGGCTGCTCCCTGGGAATGCTGTGGGAAGGGGGGGGTCTGCTGGAGAGGGGTGTGGGCCATGAATCACAGCAGCTCCTGGGGAGGGGGATCCGCAGGGTGTGGTGCAGGAGGCTGTGTCCGAGTGCACCGGTGTCCACGTGCACCTGGAGCCCGTGGGTGAACAGAGGGAAGCTGAGGGAGGCCTTTGAGGAAGCTTCCAGCATCCCACTGGCCACGGGAGAGAGCGTGTGGGTGGCTGCCGGGAACGCTCCGATGGCCCTTCCCTGGCACTGGGCACTGTCCCTGTCACCAGCCAGCTGGGTTTGGGCGTTCACCTCTCCCCAAATCCCGCTTTCCAAAGGAAAGGCCAACACCTGTGCTCCGTCCTTCGCTCCTCCTCGCTGCCCCCGGGTCTCTCTGTGCCCCAGGGGCCGCTCTCAGGCCTGGTGTAGATTTGTCTTTATTTTTACTTCTGTTTTCTTTTGAAAGAAAACCTTCCCGTTCGTCTCATGTACCCCGGTTCCCAAATGTCCTGTCACGAGTAGGAATGCACAAGTGACGCTTGAATAAAGCCAACCTGACACGTGGGCACGTGGCCGTGATTCCTCGACTGCCAGGAAATCCCTGGGAACCCACGGCAGAGGTGTTCCCAGGTGTTCCTGCCTGTGTGTCCTTAGGAGCTGGGGGTGTTTCTGAGCGTGGTCTTGGAGGGGAAGAGCTGGAGAGGTACTTTGCTCTGTTTTCCCTCTGTGCTGGGCACTCCTGAGGCGCCTCCAGTGCTGTGTCCAGCTCTGGGCCCCTCATGGCGAGGAGGTGGTGCTGGAGTGTGTCCAGAGAAGGAAACAGAGGTGGGGAAGGGGCTGGAGCAGCTTAGGGAGCTGGGGGGGCTCAGCCTGGAGAAAAGGAGGCTCAGGGGGGACCTTCTGGCTCTGCAACCCCCTGACAGGAGGGGGGAGCCGGGGTGGGGGTCGGGCTCTGCTCCCAGGGAACAAGGGACAGGAGGAGAGGGAACAGCTTCAAGTTGTACATGGGGAGGTTCAGGTTGGACATCAGGAAGAACTTCCTCATAGAAAGGGTGGTCAGGCATTGGCAGGGGCTGCCCAGGGAGGTGGTGGAGTCCCCACCCCTGGAGGTGTCCAAGGAAGGACTGGACGTGGCACTCAGTGCTCTGGTCTAGTGACAACGTGGAGATCAGTCACAGGGTGGACTCAATGATCTTGGAGGTCTTTTCCAACGTGGATGGTTCTGGGATTCTGTTTAGCTCCTCGGTGATTAAGAATTGTTTAGTAATGGTTGAAGTGCCAGTAGCTGATGTAAAACTGACCCCCAAGGGTCACGGCCAGGCTGCTGGGCTGGCACAGCCCCGCTCTGGCACAGTGGGAGGTTTTGGGCCAACAGCATCTTTCTCTTTTTTTTTTTTAACTAGCAAAAAACCCACCACAGCCCTTGTGGTGCAGACACAGACCCCGATCCCTTCCCAGCTGTTGAAGCTGTCCCAAGCTTTCCGTGCAAAAGGAAAAGGGGGGATTGGTGTTTTTAATGCAATTACCTCTGATATTGTTGTTTTAATTTTCCAGAGTGCTTTAAATCCCTCAGAGCAGCTGCCAGGCCTGGCCTGGAATGCCCCGGAGCAGGGGCTGAGCTTGGCACAGGGCACTTTGCATGAGGCATTCACAGAATCATGGAATTGGGTTTTTTTGGGAAGCAGGGTACGGTTAAAAACAAGTCCCCAGCGTTTTCAGTGTGGATCCATGTGCCAGGAGGCTCTGCATTGTGTTGTGGCAGGTTTGGGACAGAGCAGGACATGGCTGCAGGGCTGTGGTAGTGCCACCCCTCAGGGTGGCATCTACAGCAGGGAAAGGCACTTGTGTGAGGGGGGGAAAAAGGAAAAAAAATGTACCAAAAAGCAGGTCAAGGGAGAAGTAGTGGGGACAGAACGTGCTCAAACCCCAGGAAAGGTGTGACTTTACAGAAAACCCCTCAGGTGACATCCAGAAATGAATTATATCTCTTTATTATTAAATAATTAACACTCTAGTGATTCAGAAATCCCGCAGCAGCTTGAGCTGGAATGGGAATGGGGGGCAGCCCCCCCGCCCCCAGACTGTACCCTGATTAGCAGAGATTTCATGGAAGAACAAACACAGTCTGCAGCAGCTCAGGATCGTGGCCAAGGGAACAGTGGCTGGGGAGGAGAGACCTCGGATGCTCAGTCCAGTGGGAGCTGGAAAACTTGCTCCAGACTCCTGGCATTCCCAGCTCCTGCTCCCTAGAACCAGCCCCAGCAAGGGGCTCTGGGATGGACAGCTGGGAAGGAGGCGGATCCAAACGGCCAACTGCAGACACGGAGCTCGCTGGATGTGCTGGCACGAGTGCCCTGCCACTTGCTGGTGACATTTATGGCTGGACATCATCAAGTGATGTGCTGAGGGGTGGCAGGAGCACCGTCCTACTTGTCCTTTGCATCCAGCTGAAAACAGGGAGAGCACAGCGTTTGCCAGGGAGCATCAAACATTCCAGCTCCAAGCACCATCCCCGCAGCTTTCACAGAATCCCAGGATGGTTTGGGATGGAAGGGACCTTAAAGCTCATCTCGTTCCACCCCCTGCCATGGGCAGGGACACCTTCCACTAGACCAGATTGCTCCAAGCCCTGTCCAACCTGGCCTTAGTTTTCCTGCTTTATCAGCATTATCCATCAGGGATTCAGAGCAGCACAAGAATCAAGCCAAGGGCTGGCTGGACCCCAGAACGTTTGTACCAAAAAATCAGAAACCTGGCCAAAAGACTTAAGAATTCCTACTCAATTCCTGCCTCATGATCTGATGAAAATAAGAACAACTTGGATGTAAAAACTGGAATCTTGGAGCCAGATTTTATGAAGAAATCACGTATGGGCAGTGTATCCCTAAAAAATACAACTGTTTGATGTCAAATATGGAAAAATCTTCCCAGTGGTCTACAGCAATGCAGTAATTAACAGCAGCACTGAGCTCTAATAATTAAGGACTTGTTCCCCTGCAATTTCTCACTCCTGAAGATCCCAGAAGTTTACAGATGTGAGAATGGCACAGGGAAAGAAATGATCAAAGGCGAAATCCTGCCCTTTTCCACATTCCTGTTTCATCTGGGACTGGCAGATCTGCGTCTTCCCGTCTACCACGGACACGTTCAGCCCACAGCGCTCTGCTCTGGCACCCTGGCTGTGAAACAGCACTCAGGTTTGGGTTGGTTTGGGGTTTTTTAGCCCTGCTGCAGTCCTTCCCCGTGGAGGCAGACAGCAGGCAGCCTCAGCAAGCACAAACCCGCTCCCGGGATAACTCCAGCACAGGGAACGCAAAGGCTGAGGGGGGAGGTGGGGCTCGGAGCCCCTTCCCACCTTCTCTTTCTCCTTCTGGATCAGCGTTTGCATCTCGTCGTTCCAGCCCAGCAGCTCCACCAGCTTCTCGACGCCCCCGACCACGTCCCCGAGCTGGGCCACGTCGTTGTGGCGCTGCTGCCACGCGAAGGGGCCCACGAGCTCCCGGTTGATGAGGACCCGGGGCACGGAGCTGCGCACGGCTCCGGCCAGGCTGGCAAAGGGCTCCACCTGAGGGGGGAACCGGGAGGGCAGGGGGACCGTCACCCTGCCACAGGCACCGGTTCCAGGCTCAGAACTGCTGAGTGTGACCGTTCCCCCGCTGTGGGCTCAGCCACCCCGGCTCTGGATGGGTCACGGTGTCACCTGGTGGCCTTTCCTGAGGTGACCCCAAGGCTCTCCAGGTGCCCTCCTGGTTTCTAGAGGGTCTCTCGGAGCACCTGCACCCTATTTCTTACCATGCACCTCAAATTTCACCTCCCTAAACCCAGTTTCTCGCCTTCTCCTCTAAGCCCTCTCTCCCCTCCGGAGCCCCTGTTTTCCGTGCGCCTTTTTCCCCCGGGGGCTCCCCTTATTCCCAGACCTCCAGGGACGTCCCGATGACGAAGAGCAGGTCTGCCAGGGGGAAGTCTGCCAGGTGCAGGAGGAAGCGCTGTGGGAGCTCCTCGCCGAAGAACACGATGTCAGGCTTGACAACTCCGGTGCACACGGGGCAGCGAGGGACTCTGTCCCCCATGACATCCCCCTGAAAGGAGAGACCCCAAAACTGCCTGTCACAGGGACCCTGTCCCCCATGACATCCCCCTGAAAGGAGAGACCCCAAAACTGCCTGTCAGAGACCCTGTCCCCCATGACATCCCCCTGAAAGGAGAGACCCCAAAACTGCCTGTCACAGGGACCCTGTCCCCCATGACATCCCCCTGAAAGGAGAGACCCCAAAACTGCCTGGCACAGGGACCCTGTCCCCCATGACATCCCCCTGAAAGGAGAGACCCCAAAACTGCCTGTCACAGGGACCCTGTCGCCCATGACATCCCCCTGAGAGACCCCAAAACTGCCTGTCACAGGGACCCTGTCCCCATGACATCCCCCTGAGAGACCCCAAAACTGCCTGGCACAGGGACCCTGTCCCCCATGACATCCCCCGAGAGACCCCGGCTGGGCCCACTCACCCTGAAGTCCTCCCCGGGGAAGTTCCTCTTACACACCGTACAGGTGGCAGTGGCGAAGGTGCCGTGGGCTTCCACCAGCTTGTCGGGAGGGATCCCAGCCACTGGAATACAGCACGTGGGAGAGGACTGAGCCGGACGCTCCCCCGTGCGCATCTCCCCAGTCCTGCTTCTCCCCCCAGCTCCTCCTGGTGGTGCTGCTGGGAGGGGGAACTCACGTCTCTCCAGCCCGTCGATGTTCTGGGTGTAGAGGCGCAGGAGCAGCCCCTTGTCGTGCAGCAGCCGCAGGAAGTAGTGGGCGGAATTGGGGCGGTAGTTGCCGGGGTAGAGCTCCTTGGCCAGGGTGAAGAAGGGCTTGGGGTTGACAAAGAAATAGCCCAGCTCGAAGATGGCCTCGGGGTACGGGATGTCGTACTGCTCCAGGTTGCTGTACAGGCCGCTCCCGGGGGACCTGCAGGGACAGGGGGGAGCTGGGAGGGGCTGCAGCACCAGCGTTACCCGGGCTGGAGACGGAATCCCAGGATCATTTAGGTTGGAAAAGGCCCCCAAAGGTCGTCGAGCCCACCCTGTGACCGATCACGACCTTGTCATCCAGCCCAGAGCGCTGAGTGCCACGTCCAGCTGTTCCTTGCACACCTCCAGAGATGGGGACTCCACCACCTCCCCGGGCAGCCCCTTCCAATGTTCAACCACCCTTTCCATGGAGAAGACTCGGCCCTCCCAGCACCGGCAAAGGGCAAAGAGGACGGAGGCATCACCTGAAGTCCGGGATGCCGCTGGGTGTGCTGATCCCGGCTCCGGCCATCACCACCACACGGCGACATTCCTTCTTCCGCAGGAGCTCGGCCACGTCCTTCAAGGTGAGTTTCTCCTTCCCCTCGTCACCTCCCCACCTGCCCCGGCCCAAAATGGCTCTGGCAGCCGCGCTCAGAGAGAAGGGCCTGGAGCCTTGGATCCTGCTCGGCACGGGGGGGAAGCACAGCAGGTGTGTCCTGAGAGAACTGACAGCAACCTTGGCTCTGGGGGAGAAAAACACCCAAAAATTCCACAGAAAGCTCTTCCACGGGCAGGACTGTGCCAGGGCTTCACTAGGAGAAAGCCTGGCTGCTAGTCTGACCCAAACCCAGGAGCAGACACGTCCCTCTGCGCTCCCTTATGTGGATCTAAAATACATCCCTGGTATTCCCGTGAGAGGGTTTTTTCGGACAGGGGTGGACACAGGGCTGTGGGAGCAGCAGCACTGGGAATCACGAGTCCCACCACTCTGGGATCCAGGAGACGGTCCTGAGTTCAACAAATTTCTATCAGGGTGATGTGTCACCCTGCCCAGGTGAGCATAGACACTGTCATTTCCCCGTTCCCCTCCTCTGCCCTGGGAGAGCTCCGTGTGTCCATGCCCAAAGGAATCACAGCCCTGTGCCCAGCTGGGCTGGGAACAGTCATTATCAGCTTGGGAACAGTCATTAGCAGTTCGGGAACAGGCATAATCAGCAGGGAACAGCTTCTCCCTGAAAATTAGTGCTGCTGGAGCAGGGCATTGTGCACAGTGCAGAGCAGGCGTGGGAAGAGCTTGGGGGGGAGGGGGTTGGCAAGCCCAAAGAATAGTGACAGGAGCTGGAAGTGGAGACTGGCAGCGATGACACTGGAAGTGTCTCCTGGCCTCAGTGTGGTCAACTCTGCCTTCCCAGGGCTGTGACACTGCACTGCCTTACCCTGCTCTCACAGGGATGTGACAGTGCCTTCCCAGGGATGTGACACTGCACTGCCTTACCCTGCTCTCACAGGGATGTGACAGTGCCTTCCCAGGGATGTGACACTGCACTGCCTTTCCCTGCTCTCACAGGGATGTGACAGTGCCTTCCCAGGGATGTGACACTGCACTGCCTTTCCCTGCTGTCACAAGGACGTGGCTCTGCCCTGTCAGACGGGGTTCCCGAGGAGCCGAACCCCCAACCTCGTAAAACACCGACCTTCCCCTGCTCAATCCCTACTCTCCGAGCTCCCAGCCCTGCCTCCAGGGAGCGACGTCCCACCCGCCCGGTTCGGCAAGGACACGGCATCCTCCATCACGGACGCACCTCCCGCGGGACCTTCCCCGCCGCCACCGATCCCCACCCTCCCCTCCCCTTCCCGGGGCCCCCACCCCGGCCCCCCCACGTACCTCCCCGCTCTGCCGCCGGGCACCCCCGGGCCGGGCACCCCCGTCCCGCCCCCGCCGCGCCGCCCGGGCCGGGCCGCGCTCCCTCCGCTCCCTCCGCCGCCGCCGTGGCGGGGGCCGCGCTCCCACAGGCTCCTCCACGCCGCTGCAAGAGAGCCGAGCGGTGCTGAGGGGGGGGTCCCGGCGCCCCCGGGGGGCTCCCCCCGGCCCCCGGCGCTCACCGGCCGCCAGCAGCCCCGCGCCGCGGCCCCGCGCCCCGCTCATCGCCGCTGCCGCGCTGCCGCCGGTGCGCGGGGCATTACGGTAGAGGCGTGAAGCGAGAGTGCGCGGGGCATTACGGTAGCTGAGTGAGTGCGCGGGGCATTACGGTAGCTGAGCGAGTGCGCGGGGCATTACGGTAGAGGCGTGAAGCAAGGGTGCGCAGGGCATTACGGTAGCTGAGCGAGTGCGCGGGGAATTACGGTAGAGGCGCGAAGCGAGTGCGCGGTACCGGCGGGCTCGGGGCGTTACGGTAGCGGCGTGAGACGAGCGCGGGGGCGTTGCGGTACCGCCCCCCCGGCCGCGAAGCGAGTGCGCGGCGGCGGCGGGCGCGGGGCGTTACGGTACCCGGCGTGCCCCGCGCGGGCGGAAGTGAGTGCGCGGGCGGAAGTGAGTGCGCAGCCCCGGCGGCGGCGCGGCCTCCTCGTCCCGGTCCCGCCGTTCCCTCGGGCCTGTCCCGGTCCTGCCGCCGCCGCCGCCGCCATGAAGGACGTGCCGGGTTTCCTGCAGCAGAGCCAGAGCGCGGGGCCGGGCCAGGCCGCCGTGTGGCACCGCCTCGAGGAGCTCTACAACAAGAAGTGAGCGGCGGGGACGGGGAGTGGGGGGGGGGATGCCCGGTGTTTGTTTGTGCCCGGTGTTTGTTTGTGCCCGGTGTTTGTTTGTGCCCGGTGTTTGTTTGTGCCCGGTGTCTCACGGCGGGTGTTTTGTGTCCCCAGGCTGTGGCACCAGCTCACTCTGCAGGTGCTGGACTTCGTGCAGGACCCCTGCTTCGCCCAGGGCGATGGGCTCATCAGGGTGAGACGGGGGGATTCCCGGGTGTGGGATTTTCCCGTGGCACAGGGATGAGGGGGGGGTTTGTACCTGGCAAAACACAGCCTGTAAAAACTCGTCTCTGTAATAATCCTCCTGGAGAATCACTGACGCGGGTGGACTCACCTCCCGCAAGCCTGTAGTGTCTGCGTGAAAATCCGGTTAAAATTAAACATGTCGGGTTTTTTGTAACCTTCGAAGCCGTTCTTTACTTTCATTCACTTTAAGTTTTTTATATCTGAGAGATGCAGGGGGATTCTTGGGTTTTTTGTAACCTTCGAAGTCGTTCTGTGCTTTCATTCACTTCAAGTTTTTTACGTTTGGGAGATGCAGGGGGATTTTTATTCTTTTTTTTTTCCACTCCCTTCTGTAAGGAGGGGTTTGCCAAGTGCAGGGTGGAGTGTTGGGTGTTCACGGATGCTTCCCTCAGGTCCCTCCTTGGAGCTGGGAGGAGCTAAAATGGGTAGTTCTGGGCTCCTGGATTCTTCACAGTGCTGGAATTTCTGTATGGGTGCCCAATTTGTTGGAAAAATCATGGAATGGTTTGGGTTAGAAGGGATCTTAAGGATCATCATGCTCCACTGTCCCTGGAAGGGACGCCTTCCACTAGCCCAGGTCCCTCCAAACCCTGTCCAGCCTGGCCTTGGGCACTTCCAGGGATGTTCAAACGAGCTGGAATGGAGAGGAAATAAGAGTGAGAAGCTCTGAACTGGGGTTTCCTTTGCCCTGAGTGTCCCTTTCCTTGTCTCCCCACAGCTCTACGAGAACTTCATCAGCGAGTTTGAGCACAGGTGAGTCACCTGGGGGTCACCTGGGGGGGGCTTGGGGGTCACCTGGGGGGCCTGTGCTGACCCCGAGCTGCTCTTTGCAGGGTGAACCCCCTGTCCCTGGTGGAGATCATCCTGCACGTGGTCCGGCAGATGACAGGTGCGTGTCCTCCTCCTCTCCCTGAGCTGCTCTTAGCCCCTGATCCCTGTGGAATGTGGCCAGGCACAGGTGAATCTCGGATGGGGAGCTGCTGCCCTGCTGCTTTCGGAAGGGAAAGCACTGGCTTGGAAAGCTTAGGTTGCTGCTGCCTCCTGGAGTAGGAAGTCCACAGCTTCCCTGGAGAGGTGGTTGGTGAGGAAAAGCCCAGCCTACCTGGCAGCACCTGCTGCAGGCTGAGGGCACGCTGTGGAAAACACACGTTCCAGCCTTCAGGAATCCAGCGAACGACGTATTTTTAGGTGAAGTTCAGCTCCACGGGACCTCCTGGCACTGCTGCTTTTTAAAACCTGTTTTTTCTCTACTCCAGATCCCAACGTGGCCCTGACCTTCCTGGAAAAGACTCGGGAAAAGGTACGTCTGAAGCTGCTCCCTGTGGCAGTTCACCGGCAGGTGAGGAGGCTCCGGTCTGTGTGTGTGACACCTGTGCTGCAGAATCCAGGGATTTTACTGCAGGAATGTGATCAGTGATGTACACCCAGCCCTGTCCCAGCCACCTGGCTGCAGGTGACACTCCCAGCAGGTCCCCCTGTGTCCCTGCAGGTGAAGAGCAGCGACGAGGCCGTGATCCTGTGCAAAACAGCCATCGGGGCCCTCAAGCTCAACATTGGGGACCTGCAGGTCACCAAGGTGAGGGGTGGCCCAGGCTGGGAGGTTTTGGGGTGCTGTGGGGTTCCTTGATTGTCCCAGCTCCCAGCTCAGAGGGTCTCGTGAGCCTCCCCAGGATGTGGGAGCTGCTCCCGGTGACCTGGAGTGTTGCTGCCTGAGCGAAGCACGTGGGGTTTGTCATCCTTGACTTGCTTTGGAACCATCTTTTAAACCCAAAATGAGGTTTTTCATGCAGGGCAGCTTTAGATCTCCTAGAGCAAGCGCAGAGCGATGGCTTTGGGCGTGTGTACCATGGAATGCTGGAATGGTTTGTGTTGGAAGGGATCTTGAAGACCATCCAGTTCCATGGGCAGGGACACCTTCCTCTCTCCCAGGTTGCTCCAACCCCCATCCAACCTCTCCTTGAGCAATGAGGCAGCCACAGCTTCTCCAGGCAACCTGTGCCAGGTCCTCACCACCCTCACAGGGAAGGATTTACCCCAAAATCCCACCCAAACCTTTTTCCTTCATTTTAAAGCCCTTAGTATATATATAATTATAGCTGGTTAGGGGGTGGCGTTTTTTCCCCCCCTCACTATTGTGTGAAGGGAGACTGCTGCTTTATTTTCAAACAGGCATATAAATACATGCATAAATCCCACGGTGGTGGCTCTTGGCTGTGCTGACACTGGCAGGGTGTCCCTCCTGCCCTGGGCAGGACACCCTGGAACGCTGTGACCCTCCCTGCCGGGATCCCGGCGCTGCGCCGGGTGCTCCTCGCCCTTTACAAAGGCAGGTTCTTCCCCCCACCTGCCCAGGAGACCATCGAGGAGGTGGAGGAGCTGCTGAACACCCTGCCCGGGGTGACCTCGGTGCACAGCCGCTTCTACGACCTCTCCAGCAAGTACTACCAGACGGTGGGGAACCACGCCGCCTACTACAAGGATGCTCTGCGCTTCCTGGGCTGCATCGAGGTCAAGGACCTGCCAGGTGACTCCTCTGCGTGGAAAATCCCGCTTTCCACGCTCTGCTTCATCAAATAAACGCCCCGGCAGAGGGGTTTTTTTTCCGTGTTGTTTTGGCTGTGCCGTGGTGGATCCAAGGTCTGGCTGGATCAGTGGTGACCCCGCCCAGGATCCTGCTCCTGAGCTGCCCCAGGGTGACGGGAGGGGGGAGTGCTCCTGCCAGAAGGGGGTGTTGGTTCTAATTCCCCAAAAATCTTCGCTCTAGATTCCAAAAGTGGCGCTTTTGCGCTGTGGTTACTGCGGGCTCCTGAATTTCCAGGCTTGGGAGAGGGTGAGGGCTGGGAATGGTTTAATGCAGGCACAGAGAAGGATGAGGGAGGGGTTGCTGGGGCTTGAACTGCTGCTTTACCCAAATTATCTTTGTTCTGGCGTCTTTCTTCATCCAAACTGTTTTTGGTCTGTTTGTTGGGGGTTTTTTTCCAGTATCAGAGCAGCAGGAGAGAGCCTTCACCCTGGGGCTGGCTGGGCTGCTGGGAGAAGGTGTTTACAACTTTGGGGAGCTGGTAAGTCCTGCCACATTCCTCCACGGAGCCTCAGGAGCTGATTTTACCCTGCTAACGCCCTCCTGCCTGGTTCCTGCAGCTCATGCACCCCGTGCTGGAGTCCCTGAGGAGCACAGACCGGCAGTGGCTCATCGACACCCTCTTTGCCTTCAACAGTGGCAACGTGGAGACCTTCCAGGCCCTCAAGTCGGCCTGGGGGCAGCAGGTGAGGGGTGTTGTACTGCTGAAGGCCCGAGCTCAGGGTTTACAGAGCCCACTTGGAGCCTCTGGACCTCTGCTTTACTACCTTTACCTAATTCCTGGCTCTGGTGCACTGGTATAATTCTAATTGGGGTATAGGAATTATTTCATCATTATACACATCATTAGTTTTCTTTTGGCTCCCCTCTGGTTGATGGAAAGAAATAGAGAGAAATCTCCTGTGATCCAAGGGCAGAGCACTCACAAATGTCCTGCACAGCCAGATAATTCCAGATTTAATCTCCATAACAGGAGGGCTTCCAGTGGAAAAGAGTGGTTTTCCTTCCTGTTCTGGGAAGTGTGAGGAAAACAATGGTGTTGGATGTTACCTGCACTGGCTACCCCAGCAATTACTGACACAGCAGTAGTTTGCAGGTGGATCTGTGAGTCCACTGGCCCTTGACAGGCTGCCTGCCTGGTGAGCTCTGTGTTTCGTGTGCAGCCCCTGGGATTTGCTTTTCTGGAACCATTCCCAGGTGGTGGCTGGGCTGTGATGGCCTCCTCCCTCCTAAATAAAGCCCCCTCAGGGATTTACTCCTGCGTGTAACAAGCTGCTCTCCCCCAGGTTGAGGGGAAAATGCAATAATGACCTGATGTGGTGCATTTTCTCCCCCCCACAGCCTGACCTGGCTGCGAACGAAGCGCTGCTGCTGCAGAAGATCCAGCTGTTGTGTCTCATGGAGGTGAGCTGGGATGTTGCCCAGAGAAGCTGTGGCTGCCCCATCCCTGAAAGTGTCCCAGGCCAGGCTGGATGGGGCTTGGAGCAACCTGGGCTAGGGGAAGGTGTCCCTGCCCACGGCAGGGGGTGTGGAATGGGATGAGCTTTAAGGTCCCTTCCCACCCAAAGCATTCTGGGGTTCTGTGATATGGAAGAGGGGCGGAGGAAGCCTTGTGTCTCAGGGATGGTGTCTGGAGCGATAACTCTGAAAGTTGGACTTTATTTGACTTATTTTAGTTAAATATGAGAAATGCAGTTGCCGA